ATTGTTTTTAACCAGGACAGCAAGTACATTTTAATATTGTTGCAAATATAGTGACTATTTTTTTTAAATAGAAAGATGAACATATGAGCACCACTTAACATGATGAACATGATCCACTTAAATATCCAGCTCTTGTCGCTAGGTAAACGTTCATTTAGTTTGTGAACAGACCTTCCTACTACTGTGATACCTACTGGACTCCGATTTCATTTGAGGGTTATTTGTTTCCCCGCCATGTTTAAACAGAAGAGCTGGTGGTTCCTTGCTGCGGTCAGTCACAGTCGCGGGACGACGCATCTTCAGTTCTCACGCCCCGTCACGTTGCCACGGCCGTGACTAGATCACGCGTCTCGTAGTCACGGTTATTGGCATTTCAGACTGATTGAAAACCACTGTCCTCATCGGCTCTTTCAAAATCGCTAAGCAAATATTGCCGAAAAATCAGCAACGTCAAGCCGTACTTTCCCTATAGGGTCTAACTATAACGGTTTGTTGTGAATTGAGCTTGCATCTGTAAATTTTTGTTGTTAGGGCTGAAGCTGAATTTCAAAGTTTTTTGGGGGAATTGGAGTTTTATTCCTTAGGATGAAATGAAATGAAAATCATTCTTTATTGAGGCGAACTTAGGATCTCATGGTCCTTTCTTACAGTTAACCTCTTCTAGGATCATAGCAGTTGAGTAATTGATTGTTTAAAGTAGTATGTTCCTCTGCTACATTATTAAATTCATTAATCTTACATCTTGCATCTTATAGCCTATCTTAATCTTGAATTATGCCACATAGATGTAGTAATTTATCTATTAGATAGATCTATTATATCTATTATAATATTGATAACACAAAAGTAATATAGTTGATAGCAAAAATATTTATTTCACAATTCAATGTAATAGATATATCATATCCATGTAATTGTTATTGTACAGTGTTACCATTTAATGTTTGCGACTCGATCCCCGAACTGAAGTGTTGCTTTGTAGAAACCCAATTTCAGAGTATTTGTTGAAAATCATCTATGTAATTTCTATGAAAAAAAATAATTGAATTAGAACCGACCGCCGAAAATTGTATCGCAGGAAGAACAACACTGTTATCACATGAGACCATTGTTTAATGTATTAACAGAAAATATCTATGTACTTATAGACGTTCTCAACTCAGTGAGTAAATCTGCGTATGTAAATAAATCAATCTTCTTGGTGTTATTCTGAGACTACAACGCTCCTGAGATTTGAAATATTTCTTGCTATTCATATGTTTGTGTGAGTTTCATATACATCGTGTTTCGTCAGTATCACAGTAATCTTGGGCCACCAAAGAAACTTTCATCAAACTAGAAGTGACCAGTGACTATTTGTTTTGTTAATTTATTCTATGAATGGATCAATACTAATCTAAAATGAAATTTTGAGAGAGTTGGTAATTCTGTTTATCTAACACCCATAAAGTCAATAGCATCAATATTCTATGAAGTACCTAGACAATATGCTATATATATCATATATGCTTATAAGTCATTTCCAGCAATGGGTACTAGATTAAACAGTGATTTTTCTTTTACCAAGTAACGTCACTAATGTATACAACCATTTTGTCAATTCCAGGTAATTGCAAACAAACCCAACTAGGCAATGGCAACGAACGAAAACCCAATCCTTTATGGCAATCTCTACATGGGTACAATCAATTAAAGAGAGTTTAGCGTGATTACACAAGCTCGGTCCGGTGGGCCCGCGGCGCTGCGATAATGGACAAGATGAAAGCATAAACAGAGAACTATTAGAGGAGGCAAGATTGGTTCCATTGCTCCATTGTCCGGCGCGGTGTTGTGGTCGTGGAGGGGAGCTCATCTTGATTAGGCGCGTCCGACCGGTTCTGCTGGCTCGCCGGATTTTATTACAATGGACGAACAAAGACAAAAAAGCCAAACTAGTTACACATCGTATAAAAGGCATGATGAAATTGGGCCCAAACATACGGAGTCGGGCCCCAGGCGCGCTCTTTGTTGATTGGAGCGTGACTGACTAAGACTGGACGTGTGTCCTTCGATTGACATCTTCGGGGAGCCGTGTCCATCGATAGAGGCATGTAACATAATCAGGGTGTCTATATTCTGGAAAGTCAGGGATAGTCATGGAAATAAGTAAAAAGTCATGGAAAGTCATGGATATCCCCAATGATGGGTGGATTTGAGGGGGCTTTTCAATGCTCTAGTCGGCCGTAACCCCGACTATTATAGCATTTTTCAGGTTTTTTTACAAATGTACGACAATTTAATTTATTACAGTTGTATTAGCTTATGAATTTTGAGTTGGTATTAGTTATTTGTTGTTCCTATTGTACTCATCCATTGTCATCTGTTAATACATATTTTAGTATTTTTTTGTGAAATAACTTGTCAAGGCAGTATTATTCTTGTGTGTATCTTATATTATAATTTTCGAGTAAAGTTTTTGAGTCATGGAAATCAATGGTAAATGGTCAAGGATAGTCATGGAAAGTCATGGAAATTAATGAAACATTTTCTGTGGACACCATGCATAATAGTATCACAGGATATATCATTAACACATTTTGGGCGAAAAATTGTAAAACTTAAGTGCTCATTGAATATCTGCGGTAAGTGTACGTGTCCGGCTGGGCCAACTTGATTGCGAGTTGGGATGTAGCGTGTCATCCGATTGAGATAGGTCGATGTAATATAGGAATCGAACACATAAGCTAAGGATGCATTACATTAGACTCTGTGCTTACATAACAACGTGCATATAGTGTGGTTCAAACTAAAACAACAATAGTAAACACGTGAATCCTATTTTAAATATAGTGAATTTCCGTATTAGTAAGAACCGTAAACTTGTTATCTTATACAATAATGCATCCACTAATTACCAAGGACGCTTGACGATGAGCTCAAATTTTGTGTGTGCCAATGAACGGGTTCGATTCCCGATTAACCTATGTGGATTTGGACAGCTTCCGTAAAATCGTGTGTGTACTCTCATCAATATCTCCCCTAAAAAAGCCACGGCGTAAAAAACAAAGAATTTATTTTCGGCTCTTAGACCTCCATGTGTACTACTATGGTTTTTTATTAATCATGATTTAAGAGAGATTCTGATATGATGGCTCTTACTACTGTATTACTTAAACATAAAAGAATTCACAAGAACTGTTAGTAGAGTAGTAAGTAGTAGTTAAACACATAAAGTAGGCCATCCTATTCTTCTACGAGCGTTGACCTTTTCGCAGTAATTCATTTAAGGGTCCGTCCGGGGCCCTGACGTGGCGACAGAGACGGAAGACTTTGGCTAGTAATTCAAAACGAGAAGGAGTGGCCTTTTTGACGTTTGAAAAGCCTCCGCCCCCGAAGATGGGAGATAGCGACCTTGTCTTTTCAAATTAATAGCATCGCATGTCTGGCCGAGGTTAGAGGTGGGCCTGAACCATTTAACGAGCCTCACTGCGTGTGATTAGCTGGACGTCTTGCCTTTCGTTTCGGTTATGCAACAATGTAAGAATGTGGAGCCCCCTACTTGCTCCCGGCACTCCCGTTCATAGGATTATGTAAATGGATAAACTTTGTTTAAATGCATTGTTAATGAACAGAAAAATAGTTGATTGTGGTGTTTAATTTCACTGTACAGATTTAAACCCCCAACTAGAAAAGTCATGAAATCACGCAGTTTTTTACAAGGTGCTGCTGGTGAGTACAATGTAACTGAATGTCATGGACATCTAGCATGTATGGATTTGTAGTTGGGAATTTCTGTAAAATAGACATTCTTGGACAAATCTAAAATGTGTCTTTTAAACAAGTTTTGAATCATACTCTACGGAAGCAGAAGCGCAAGCTCCCAAATTGGTCATGTTCGAAGGACCATTGCTGTGCACAAATGAGTTAAAAAAGTAGTTGATCGTTTTTCTCTGTCAGTCTTTTGACATTCAACAAGCTGTCGTCCGTCGGGCGTTAACACCGGTAGTGGTGACGTTTAACGCACATTGCCACGTTTATCCTGTGGTACAGCGAATGGACTGTGAAATATCTAAGTTTTCCAACTTATGCGATTTGTAAGTTTGAGTGATGTAGGTAAGGGCTTGACATTTTCTGTTGACTGATGGCTACTAATTAATATTCCAAGTATTTTCCTTATCGATCGGCTGAAACTACACCGGCCTTCGTGTATCAACGTAGTTGGGCCTTCATATTAACTGACAAATACATTTACACTTAATTTTGCTTCGTAAGTACAGAAGTGTACGTAAGTGATATTTGCCTCACCTCGCTCGTCAAATCCTTAATTTATAGATAAAGAATATCTTATTACTGTTACTTGGTGTTTTAAATTATGGTAACATTCTTAGCTAACACGAGTTGTATTCGTTCCGAGATAGATTTACCGGAGACTCTCACTATTAGTTTTTAACTTTGGCTTGAAAAATAATTATTTATCAATATGAAGAGTGGGGAAAAAATATATACGGTATAATAGTGCCGCTAAATCACGTGATTCATTCAAACAGTGTGGCTGTGTCGTGTCAACATGTTTATTAATTTAATCAAACGTAGCAGATTAACGGTTATTAGTCCTAATTATTTTGTTTGAAGAGTGGGTCATTTAAATACGTTTTTAAAATGTAATAATTGATGCAGTTTTTTACAATGTAGCTTTGTACTCTTTATATGGATATTAACATATTCTTGACTAATCAGAAATATACAACTTTTCAGTTCACACAGTCCAAAAAAATTGTCTATACTGAAGATTATAACCTTTTATTTACTGCATGGTTACATTATATTTAGTATAGAAATGCAAATTATATTGGCCTCCGGTAGTCTCAGAGCGAAAAGTGAAATGAAGCCTCGCTGGGAGTCAGAGTCAGAGTCAGAGGTGAGGTGGCGAGGTAGAGAGGGAAGAATGCGGTGGTGGGACGACGACGGCCTTGCCCGTAGCCCGGGGCCGCTCTAGCTCGCCGCGGCCGCTGCTGCTTTCCCCAGTCAGTCAGTGTACTGCGAGCCACGGGCGATGACGTTGCACCGGCCACCGGGCCGAGGCCTGCCGCCATGAAACCGCTGTCGTTCGAGAACCTGCGCCGGCTCGTCGGCGCGGGCAAGAAGAAGAAGGACCGAGCCGAGTCCTCGTTCAAGAGGAGTGATTCGTTCAAACGGATTTCTATCCGGAAAAATTATCTAGATCGCGGTGGTAAGGGGCGAAACCCCCTGAAGGCGGAGAGGAGGAACGCCGGTTGTGCAGTGGCGAGTGTCGATGTCGCAGCGAGCGCGGATCCAGGCAGTGCGTGTACGGTGCCGACTATCAGTGAAAACGTAGCCGAGCCAGTGGTTATCGGCTACGGCCAGTGGATAGAGTGCATCAGAGCCGAGGATTATGAGAGTGCCGGGAAGGAGTGCGCGAGGTCCCCCTCGAGGGATAGGAAACCTCCGACGCCGCCGCCCAGGAAGAAGTACAGTTCCCCTAGTGCGGATTCCTCCTTGGAGATACTCAGGTTTGAGAAGTCCCCCGTGTTTGTGCGCCGGCGGTTCCGCATGTCTCCCCCGCCGTCATTGAAGGTGTTGGACCCGAAGAATGAGGAGCGAAGTGACTCCGCCCTCAGTATCAGTCTGGGACGAGTGTGGATGGACGCCCCGATGGCTATGGCGAACGCTCCCAGGAGCCTGGAGCTGCCCAGACCGTCGTCCTCCTCAGTCGACGCCGACGTAGCGGCGCGTAGAGCGCATCACTCGCTCGAGAGTGCTCTCAAAGATAGAAGGGACGATAAACCCCATTGTTCCCGACGGTTCCATAACTACCCGTCTCGTCCTCTCTCCCCGACACCTTTTGTCATGCCAAACCCTTCCGCGATATGCAGGACATTGTCTTCTACCACTCAAACCACTTCCACCAGCAAAACTATATCGTCTAGAGGGTCTTTGGAACTCTTAAGTACAAGTAAGGATTCGGGGTTCTCGTTCTCTATTTCCATTCCAAGGTTAACAGATTTTGGGGCACCTAGTTCTGGCGGTGGTGGTGGATTCTTTCGGAAGAAAAAGGCCAACAAACCCAAACCGAGTGTCAGTAGGGATGGATATTTTAAAAGGACTAGTGGTGCTTACAAACTCGGGGCCGATTCGCCTAAGCGAGGGTCTATTCGGAGAACCAGTAGTCGGAAGGTTAACTCTAAGGGTCATTTCGGAAAGAAAAAGTCCTACGGCGGTACAGCGCGAAGTGATTTGTATCAGGTGGTTATCAGTAGACCTCCGAGGTCTTTGAAATCTCTCAAACTAGATCCCATGATATTTGTGCCTCCGGAAAAACGCAAGACGAACAACACTATGCGGAAACCAGCCCGCTTGGAGGTGCAGGAAATCCGGGACTACTGTTCGCCCAGAGACATGAAGAGGTCGGAGGAACCAGCGTACGACGAGGACGAGGGGTTGTACGAATGCATCTCTGGAGACATATCAGACGGTAGTAGTGACGATGACGGCCGGGAGTCGCGGAGGATCCAGTTCAGAGATCTGAGCGACAACGACGCCGACACAGAGGACGAGACCTACGCGCCTCTGGGGGTGTCGCCGGTGCCTGGGCGGCGACCTGTGCGACGCAGGAAGTCTGCTCGCAAAAACGTCAAGTATCTGGTGAAGCCAACCATCCATCGTGCACCGTCCACGCTCAAGAAGAACAGGAAAATGACAAAGAAAACAGGTGAGTGATAAACATTGCAGTAACCATTATCGTATCTGTATTTGTTTATAGAATGGCGTACTCTGAATCTGGCCTCGTGTCTTGATATTCAACACGATACTAGAGATCCAATAGCTTCCACGTGTGTAACGTGCATACAGAATCAAATCTGAGAGTGACTTGTATCCCAAGGGAGTTAAACTTGGCGTCGTTTGAACCGAACCCACACACCCAGGCGTTACTTTGAGTTTTAGAAATAATGCTAGCAGTAATTTTGCTAACATGTTATCTTACTGTGTAATGCATTCCAATATTGCATGTAAACAATGCCAATATTGTTCAACCGCATTTCCACGGATGGATGCACTCTTTGACACTAGTGTGTAATGGGCAAATTATTCACTGTCTATTGGAAATGTACAACGTGCCAATTTAAAGCTCTTTTTGATGATGAAACATCTTATTTCTGACAAAAACGTTCTTATCTGTTCACTTCTTTCGAGATATTTTATAGTTAATGATACGGAAAGATGACTTCAGTTTATACAGGGTGTTTCCTAATTGTGTGGACATATTTTGTGAACTTAGTGTTTTGGCTAAGGCATAAAATGCCAAATAAGTATGGGTCTAAAATGCCTAGATTTCTGTCCGTCGGTCTGTTTGTTGATTTATTTAAATTATTTTATATCTAAGGGATTTTTCAGACGGACAGAAATCGAGGCATTTTAGACCCATACTTATATGACATTTTATGTTTATATTAGCCCAAGGAATAACATAAAAAACACTAAAGGTACCTGCAATGAATCTTTGAGCTCTTAGTTGTAGTCAAAGCTAAATATTAAAGGGCCGAACTGGAGCACGGCTCAGATCTCTTGTGTAGTTAACATCACACGTGGATCATTGAGATTCTTCAGCGCTCTGCCGCGCCAAAACGAGTGAATATTTCTTGTAAATGTGCACGTGGCTGGAGTATGAAGTTACTTTTGACCTCCTTTGACTGCACATTTGTATAGCTTAGTGCTTGTGTTAACGTCAGTTCGCCTAAGATTGCATGAACATAATTCTAGGCCAAATGAACCAAAATGTTATAATTATATACCGTAGTGTCACGGAATAAACACAGTGCAGTTTTTTATTTTAATAACTCCAACGTCAGGAAACTTCCCGTAGTCATGCATCTCGATATTCAATAACATAACTAAAAAAACGTTGGTCTTAGGCGTATTATTTTAATCGGAAAATATATAAGTAATTATATGCGTCTTACTTGTATTTCACCGATGATGCGTTATTAGTCCGAGAATCGTTACTTGTTTCACGGTGACTTGGATAACACTTATGAGGCGTCTCATTAAATGTATAATCGTTATATGCGGGAAATCGCTAAACCAAGCGATAATAGCGATTACGTGGTAATGAGACGAACATTTTTAAGGTCCCAAGGCACAAGAAGCTTTTGTTTTCACTCAGTTGTCAATAAAACTTAATACAATTTTACTTTAAAAGCAAAGTGAGTTTAAACTAGGATCGTTGCTGAGTCAGCTTCCCTTTGCCAGTTGCACTTTTTGCAACAGACTTGTTCTGTTCTTGGCTAATTGAATGACAGTACCACCTGCCTAGACTCTGCCCTTGTATGATTCTCACTCATTATACTTTTTAACTCGTGTTTTGTCCCACAGACCCTGTAACCTGCGATAAAATCAACACTTGCCAAAGGTATTTGTTAGAGTTTTTACTGTTTTGATTTTTCCCTTGTGTGGCTTTCATTATTTATAGGGTCTTTTGATGCTCGACTAGGCCGACCTTGTCATTTCACTTTCAATGCGAAAGATAGGTGTTGGGTTTTAATGCGGTTTTGCTCTCATACTATGTAAAGTGATTTTTTCATCTTAGGCACAGTTGTTTTTTTTCATTCGGCTTGTACGGCTTTAATTAATTTCATATTCTTAATGGTTATCTAATATTGGTCAGTGGATGACCGCGTCATCGAATACTGGCCCAATATGGAAGATTTTTGCCTATTAACGCAACACATCTGAATCGTGTGCCGGTATTCACACCAGTTCAAAAACGTGATCATCCCCTGATATATTTGACTGTCTATGAATAATTTGACCCCGAAACCCTACTATCTGGTTAATCTACGTCAATCTACGTGAATTAATACTAATTCTTATGACAAATTATCTAACTGTGTGTTCTTCAGTAATTCAATGTGATTGTAGATTGTATGAGGACAACAATGATAATATTCTACCGGGCAATAGAGTTATGAATAAAAATTCTATACGATTAATGCTAACCGTTATTTTAATACACTATAGTTGTGTCGTAGACAGAATACATTCAAAACATTTTTCAGTAATTATTCCGGTTAAACGATGTGGTAACCTCTCGAAAGATTCTACTTTGACCGGGAAAGCTTGCAATTTAGTTAATTGTAAATATTAATTTGATTCACTTGTGTAGCTTATGTTCAAACGTACTATGATTGTTTGAGGCTAATGTTGTTATACCGAAAGGAAAAATTATGAATAAAAGATGACGACGATCAATAATAACATGCTAATCTGATATAAGATAGATGGACTTAATTTGTTGTTCCCTAGCCTAGATCCTAAAGATATTGTCGAGAATTCTGAATCTAAAGACTTATTTTGTTCACATAGGTCTACAAGATGATTGTGTGATACATTATACGATTATACACATACACATGATACACCATAGCTGGGCCGGTCACCACAGGCACACGGGAGGGGAAGGTACCGGTCGAGGCAGACTAGCGGTCGCTAGTTATTCTCGCCGTCTGACTCCATAATTCCTCCCCGCGGCGATGGACAACGGCCTGGCTACGTGGCGACTGGCGACTCTTGCGACAATCTACTTGTTAACTGTGGTGTATATCTGCGAATGGATTGTAATATGTGGATTTTCCTCCCCAACATGAGGTGTCACTGATTGAATCTAGGAAATCATCATCCATTATTGGAAAAGCTGATTTAAAGTTTCCAAATTACTAACAAATCTGTTTTAGGCAATACCAACACGTAAAACAAAATGCACTGAATTAACGAAAAGAAAATTAGTCTTCCTCATAATATCAAATGGACAAACCCAATTGACTACCAACGTTAATTTACCTACAGAACATAAAAGTTTATAGAAATGGGCTGTCAAGAAGTCTTGATTAAGCAAAGTAAATGACTACATATTATTCAGTCCATGTAACGTAGCATTACAACATCGCCGCACTTGGATTACCCTGAAGGGGTGAGTGTAGCGTTACGGGCTGATAAGCTTTTTCTTAAAAGCCAAGTCCATGTTTCATACAATGCTTAAAGATCTCTAGGCCCTGTATCAAAACATAAAAAAACGTGCTAACATACATGACTATCAAACATTTTTAAACTCCTTTATTTATCATCGTTCTCCGAAGTTAAATCTTTTCATAAGTTGAAAATTGAAATACATCATAACTACTCACGCTCCTGTATCGATATAACGTGTTCCATTTCAATCTTTTATTTGGTCGAGTTAAACGCACCCGCATACATAGATGTAACGGAGAAATAAGTGGCCCGTATCGAAGAATTAGGATCTCTGTGTCAATGTCAATTAAAACGGAAGATGTCCCCGGAATAAATTTAAATGTTAGTCATTTTGTAACACATTTTTCTTTGGTATGTTTTTAATATAACAGTTTGATATGAAAAGTCCCGTCACATTAATTGCAAGTCATACAAAGATATTTTATAGATATATTGATAAAATGTTTCCTAATTATATTTGAGTTTATTTAAGTAAAACCATAATCAAAGGTTCTGTAGAAAAAGTTGCTTAGTTGTTTGAACAGTTTTATTTTTAAAATTGCCTTGGTTTTTTTAACTACAATTAATTGTCCTGAAAAGTTCAGCAAGAATCTACGCAACATCATTTATCAACTACAGATTCAGTGATAAATGCCTACTACAAATGCCTGTTTGTAGAAAAATAGTGTAGAGTTGCTTTGAGAAATTATTAGTTATACTTCATTTGAGGAATTGCTGACGCTGTTTCTATCAGCAATTGTTGCTAGAGTCTGCAGCAAGTGCGGGGTTACTCTTATGCAACACATGTTATCAGCTACAGATGCAGTGATACAGGCCAAGCGTGCGTTACTCACTGCTGCTGCTCTCTCTGATAAGTGATAAGGTGAAAGCGATGCTTCTATCTGTTCATCTCGCTGTACTGCGCGGTTTTATTTCCTTGTTTACCATTCAGATGAGGACTGTTGTGCCAGTTGAAATGTTCATATCGAATAGCCGGTTGTTTAGCCGTATAAGGGTGGTTTGAGGCACACAATATCCAGGCCTCGGCTGTAGACGTAGTTATTTAGCGAATAGGTTTGATAGTATGTTAGATGGAAATTGCCGTATAATAATGTTGTAAAATTTTGCTTTTTGCGAACTAGCTTTTATGACTAGGTTTAGGGTTTTAATAATTGTATAAGATTGGAGAAAATTTGAAAGACCTAATCTGAAACGTATTTAATTCTTACTTAAACTTAGTTGTATTTAATTTGATCACGATAATACAGTACTGTGATTCGTAGTAAAATTTATTAGGTTGTGACTTATATTGGGGCTTCTTTTCCGTAACCGGACTATGTAGCTGTATTAAGAAAGGTTTAGAGTACGTAGTTATCGATAGGTTCAGTAACGTCGACCAAGCACCAAAGTCTTTCCAGTGCTCTGATGAGGACACCGCGTTTGGCTTATCAAACAATTCCTGAGGAAAAATAAAGGCGCATATAACGTAAACGACCTATTATTTCCTAATTTTGTTGCATAGTTTAAATTTAATAACCTCTTTAACTCATGTACAATTATGCATTTTCCATTAGACAAGTTTCTTCATAAGGTCGTGCCGTAATCTTGATGCAGTTATAGGAGGCGTTTTAATAGCATGGTGGGTTAAAACTGTGGTTATCTCATCAATCCGTATTATACTGTAGATTGTTTATTGTGAAATTTGCA